CATCAGGAAAGTGCACTTGAAACTACGATGTGTATTAGGCTACATCTTCAAAAATAACTTTGATTAAAATAGAAAATGGTAAGAATAGACATGGATATGAACAAACAGGAATCCCAGCACACAACTGGTAACAGTGAAAATGGTTACAACCCTTTTAAAAGATAATTTACCTGTAGCAACTGAAACTGAACCTATCATAATCTACTCAAGTTTTAAGAAAATCCTGGACAGAAATGACTAAATATACTCACAAAAGACCTAACATTCATAGTACTGAAACTTATTTTAACTAAGACCTGAAACATCCCACATGTCCACCAGTGGAAAAAGCCAAAAATGATGGACTGTCCTTATAGTTAAATACCATTCATCAGTGAGTAGGATATGCATGAATTTCATAATAAACAATATATACAATATGTTTTGTTTTCATTTAATGTTTCACATTTGGTTAAATTGATTTATCTCAGAAGTCTGACACTGATACCTGCAGGCACAAGACTGTGGAAGAGGCCTTCTGGCATGTGTGTGCAGTTCTGTGTGATTTTAATACTGGTTATAAAGGTGCCCCCCACTTGGTGAAACAGTCTCAAGCTATTCACTTAAGGCATATCTATTTACATTATCTTGAACTTCAGTAAAGGAGTTCCAGTGCATGTTTCTGGTACTGGCTTCACAGACATGTCCACTTTATAAAAATTTATTAACATGCACAAGTATAATTTGTAAGCTTTTAATGTTTATTCATGTTTATATGTGAGAGGAGAGAAAGACAAAGAGAGGGAAGAAGGAGAGGAGAGGAGGGGGGAGGGAGAGAGAGAGAGAGAGAGAGAGAGAGAGAGAGAGAGAGAGAGAATCAGTCATGTGTGTGCAGGTGACCTCTTCCAAGACCAGAAGAAGGCATCAGATCCCTTGGAGCTGGAGTTACAGGCAGGGCCAGCTGCCCTTACGTGGGTGCTGGGACCTGAACTCCAGTCCTCTGGGAAAATAATAAACACTCTTATCCACTCAGCCATCTCTCCAGCCCCATAACTTGCAAATTTAAAAGCATATTTTCTAACTTTTGAAGCAAGCTTATATAAAATATAACTAGAATAAATTGAAAGGACATATACTTTTCTACCTATAAAATCAGCTGTGGCCACAGTGAAACAAATTTAGAACTGAATAGAAAGAGAACACGAGTCAAGACACAGGTCTTAGGACATTCTCCCTGTGATCATGGCAAACATTTACCTTTTTCATACTTGATATCATTTGATAGCTTATCAAGTGCAAAATGTTTGAAAGTACAAGGGAAGGAATATGAAAAGGGGGAAGGGAGAATTTTTACCACTTGGTGAGAAATCTATATCTGCTTTAGTCTTTGGGGATTTTCTTTAACTCTACCTTTCTTTGCTTACCACTTTCAAAGGCCCCTCTAGCCTCTTGAGAACTATTGTTCACATTAGCTTGGTCACTTGAATTTTGCTTCAATTCTGACTTTAAAAAATTCATAAAGTGTTTGGTGAAGATGATCACTAGAGCTGACATACACAATAAACAAACACAACTGCTTGTTTTCATGACTCCCGAAGGACGTTGAGCAAAGATTTTGGAAATCTTTCTATAAAGCTCTGACAGTTCGTACACCATAGTCTTAAAACCCAAAGCAACTCAACCCAGTGAATTTAGTTTCCTTCAACCATCAGTTGGGATTTTGTTGTTGTTGTTGTTGTTTAATATTTCTCCTTTAACTTTCAAATCTAGAAATGAAAATAATGGTTCCTTCCAATGGAATGAGCTGTCTTAAATCACTTAGTTCCTTATGAATCACTGACTACTGTACAGGTTTACTATACAGCCGAACAGTCACAAAACCTTTAAAAACAAAATGTATTTCAAATTTAGCAGAAGTAAATTTTGTCTACATAAATTTTAATTAGAAATTAAAAAAGAATTAGTCGTTATAACAGATTTCTAATGGTTTGGACTCTAATTGCAGTCACATGAGAACCCCATAAAAAAAAAAAAAACTACTGTTCACAAACCAAAGAGTTTCTTTCTGAGTTTTTTTATGAAATAAAATTTATTTTAAAATTATTATTTAAAATATGCTTACTAAGACTTGGTTTTCTAAGTTTCTAATGTTTTAAGACTAATGTGTCACGCTGGGCTTGGTGGCATGCACCTTTATTCGCAGCCCTTGGGAGGCAGAGGCAGGTGTCTCTGTGAGTTCGAGGCCACCCTGGTTCACATCGTAACTTCTAGGTGGGCTGTGACTAGGGAGACACTGTCAAAAAACAAGCATCAAAAACCAAACCAAACTAAAAAGACTGTTTCAATCCAGTCCTGAGATTGATTCCAGTAATTCTGTCACATTCTATGACATGATTGTTGAAATATTCAGTCTCTTGGCTAAATATTCACTCACTTAACAAAAGAATTTTAGTGCAGAAATTGTCTCCTTGGAGTTTCAATAATGTTTGGACCTCTATTTCATCACCCTTACATTGAAGTTTCTATCATGTTCCATTTCATTGAGTTTCTGCTATGGAACTGATTCTTCTTTGACTCATATATGTTTAACACATAAGATTACTCGTGGACAAAGATTAATAAAAGATCAGTTTCAAAATTTACCCAAATAATTAATGGCATGTTAAGTAGAACAGGGATCAGAAATTACATCTCTGCATGTCAGTACAAAATCCATTTCTCCCATTTACTGGTTCCTTAATCACTATTGACATTCCTATGAATTCTTTGTATCTATTTATTCATTCATTCATTTATTTTTGAGATAAGGTCTCATGTAGCTTTAGCTGACTTCGAAGTCACTTTGAAACTTAAAATGACCTTGGTATCTGATCCCATGTGCTAAGATTACAGGTATGCACCACCATGCCCAGTTTATGTGGTACTATGAATCAAACACAGTTTCCTGCATACTAGAAAGCATTTTCTACCAAGTGAACTATATTCCCAGCCCTACATTTTTGCTCTTCTATCTTTGTTTTGTACAAAATTTTGGGATAAACCAGATAGTCAATTATAACAAAACTCCCTTTTTGACGAACATATTTCAGGCCAAAGTAACAATTCTTACTGGAGTTATCACAACATCAATAAAGGATTGACGAATAAACTCAAACAAGAGAAGAGAAAATACATTAAAGGACAGCACATTGAAGAAAATCCTGTCTCTAAGACTCAAAACAAAAGAAAAGTCAAGATTACATAGCATTTTAAAACAGTAAAATTTATTTCAACTGATACATATGGGCATAAACCTTGATTGAGCATAGCAATGGACTAGTATGTAGTGTTTTTGTTACCTCTTTGTGGTGAAAACTTTAAAAATGATTTATTCTAATATTATTGTTATTTATAGTCACCCTGCTATGCAAACTAGAATCCTTGCTTTGTTACACCAAGGCAAAGGAGAAGGAAAAAATCCTGCTTACTTCTTAGAAATAGGAGGTTCTGGGAGCTGTCCAATGTACTGAGTTAATTTACCCTTTAAAAGAAACTGATGTTCCAGCTCTCAGAATTAGAAAGTCTCTATACACATATATTAGGCTATTCTGATCCACCTTTGAAATTATTTTTCAACATGTTTCTTCACCTCTGGGGGCATTTTTAAAGATCTCTACACTGCCTGATTAACTATAGCTGACAGCAAACAAAGAAGTGGAAAATAAACTTCTTGTGTGAAAATCAGAGATATATGAAATCAACAAAACTTGATTCTAGAATCTCTTCTTTATCCCCCAAAGTTATCTAAAGATACCATGAAAGCTCCATTAAACAGAATTCGGTAAGCGATAGCTTTCACTTTTAAAGCTTACTGTAGGAGGGTGCAAATGAAAGGGGCAGGAGCCAGATGAGAGTGTCAGGAATTTTCTTTGTTCAAGAACAAATACTTGATTGGCAATTTAAAAGTCCAAAGACTCCACACAGAGGGTGAGCTGTTCTACCCTTTGGCTTATTAAGGCTAAATCGTTTTTTTGAAAGGAGACTTAAGTAGTTTTGCTGGGCCCTGGGGCGGGTGTGGCTTTGTCCCTAACCGGGAAATCTCACTGTAAAGCCGGATGCAGTAAACGTTAGCCTCCGTTTTTCATTTCATCATCACCATAACCTTTTCCCTTTAATAGAATCCTCCACTGAAGAGGATAGGACAGGAAAAGTAAAGTCAAGTACCTCAATTGTCAAGTTGATTGTGGCCAAGCTGACTTAAGAAGTCAGGGTCTGTAACCAGGCAGGGGAGTTGTTTGCGGTGCCGTAGAAGGAGAAAAAAAAAAAAAAAAAAAAAAAAAAAAAAAAAAAAAAAAATACTGAGAATGGTTCCAACAGAGACACTGGGGAATGTGCTCAGGCCCCCTGGCCGTGCTTACTTAGGCTAATGGAAGGTCTTGCCTTTCAGGAGCCGCTGCACTGGGATACCAGACAAACAGCTCTCCTCGACCCCTGGCAGGAAGGGCCCCTCTTTAGGACATCATTAAAAGCGCATGCACTTGCCTCACATCCATTGGCGAATGGTGGCAGGATTCAGGACACCCACTCTGAAGCTAAGGAGAAGCCATCTCGGTGCAAAAGATTTTGGCTTTGAAGATTCAAACCGAAATGAAAGAACTACATGGGATACGGAACCTGGAGAATATTGGCTGGGGGTGAGAAACGACACAAAAAAATACAGCAGGTAAGACTAGGGGTGGTTGCCAAGTAGGAGCTGTCCTCGTCGAGCAGCGGAAAAAAAAGCCTTAGAACCCGAAAGCCTGTCACTTTGAGCCTTCAGTGAGTGCTCAGGCTTGTCTTCTTCCATCAGCTTCCAGAAGAGGGACACTGCCCCAGCCTTCCCTTTCCCTGCTAATAATCCAGTTTTCAGCTTAATAATAAATACTAAGGTCCCCCAAAGCTTGATGATGGTGTGCCAACGGAATCAAGGCGGTCAAGAACTCCATTAGCAGCTTCGCCCTCCCTGCAAGAAAATCCATGAGACGCTGGGCCAAGCCACAGGGATGGCAGCCTATCCAGAGAGCTGCTTGGATGCCGCGGTGCTGGACTTCGTCGCAGATCTGTCTTTGGCCTCACCAAGACACCCTCTTCTCTGCGACTTTCCATCTGGGGTCGCTTTTGGGGACCGGACACTTGGATTCAGCGAGGGAAGACCCCGGAGGCTGTTGCAATTGGAGGAGGGAAGCCCAGAAGAAGAGGAAGCCGAGGTAGAAGAAGGGGACGCGGAGGAGGAGGAGCAGGAGGAAGAGGGGCGCGGGACAGCAGCCTCCCTGCTGGGCCGCCCCAAAAGGAAAAGAGTAATCACATACGCCCAGCGTCAAGCCGCCAACATCCGTGAGAGGAAGAGGATGTTCAACCTCAACGAGGCCTTTGACCAACTGCGCAGGAAGGTGCCCACCTTCGCTTATGAGAAGAGGCTGTCCCGGATCGAGACCCTCCGCCTGGCAATCGTCTACATCTCCTTCATGACCGAACTCCTGGAAAGCGGCGAGAAGGAGGAGACCGGCTGAGCTGGAGCGGATGAGGCCAGTCCCCTTCCTTGCTAGGGCACCGGGTACGACCAAAAGGTTGAGGGACATTTGGGAGTTTGGGTTAAGCAGCTGGAGAGCTAATATGTGGAGTCCAGGTTAGGGCAAGAGGGGCAAGTTGGGGCATCTGGGAGGTGCAGGCTCCTGAACGCTTCTGTGCTTCTGCGCATGGGAAGCTCCTCAAAGGGAAAATTTTCCGAGCTTCTAAAGGGTCTCCCCCTCCTTGTCTCTTCTAAAAGTAGAAGTAATAAAATAGAAAATATTTTTGACTCAAGAGTCGGTGCTGCGCCATCTGTGGCAGCTGCGGTGCCAGGTCAGAGGCAGAGACCCTTAAGGGTGACACTGTGCTACTGCCTCTGGGTTCCGCAAGTCCTGACTGGGTTTGACCCTCCAAGGTTAGTTACAGGTACCAAAAGGACTGGGTTGAAACAGGGAGTAAGATGATCGGATCCACTGACTAAACACATCCTCCAAGAAGCTCTTATCCTCCTTCCCTTCCTCCTCTACCTAAGGTGGTGCGATCTGGGCGGATAGGGCTTCCACCTCGCTGCCAGGGGGACCTTAACTTGACCCAAGGCAGAATGTCGCAATAGCAATTGCACTTCATTCAAGGAAAGTCGCCACTCTGCCCTTTTGCTAAGAACTAATCCTTTTCTCTGTAGCTCCCGCTTCGGGTGGGAAAGGTGGGAGAGGACTTCTCAGGGACAGGCTCTTCCCACATTCCAGGCACTGTCGGGGGCCTTGGGCGACCCCGCGCCCTCCCAGCGAGTCAGCGCTTTCAACAGTAGCTGGAGGAAAAGGGCACAGGTCTCAAAAGAACTGAGACAACCCCGCCATTCCCCAGTTCCTCCTCGGGGCGACTGGGTAGCACCCAACAGGGGTTATAGTTAAGTGGGTGAGAGGGGGAAGGAGAAACCCCAAATTCTAAATCCGTTCCCTCCCTAAGGGATAAATCTTAAGGAATGAATCTTTTATTTCGCTCCTCCTGTGCACGTACAAACAGCCACAGCTAGTTTGCGTATGTGCAATGCTCTCTATCATACTTGTATAACACAGAAGTAAGAAATAATATATTCTCATCCTAGAAAGTTCGCAAAATGAGAGTTAAAAAATAAAAAAAGAAATGAGCGTTGAAATCAGCCCACACTACCACACTACTAGAATTTTCATTTATTCCCGTCCAGTCTTTATTTCCTATGCAGTTATAATTCACTTTATGTAACAAATTTGGAATCTTTTTGTACACTGATTTTCTCACTTGGCATTATAGAATGAGTGCTTCCTTCACTTTAAATATTAAATGTGGTTTTCATTACTGTATTTGACTGTCATATCAATGTATCACAACTTCATTCCTTTACAGATGGCTAGCTCAGACATTTCCTTTTAAAATATGATTTTTCAAAGAGTGTGCTTATAAATGTCTCCCCTGTTATAATCATCTAATGTTAGGTGCCCAAAGTCTGTGAATACAAATGGGTAGAATTCCTTCCCAGCAAGTCCTGCCAGCTCACACTCATCTCCCTCACATTGCAGGAGTCTGCCTGTCTTTCAGTCCCTCCTAGGGATACCTGGAAAGATCCCCTGCCCCCCAAGGAATGGAAGGAATTTGTCATTATTTTAGTAATACATTTAATTTTCATTGGTCCTCATACTGGTTATGTGTACATCTAAAGAAAGCTCACTACACATTTCTGAAGTTCCTGTTAGGTTCAAGAAATTCTAGCACTTATATATAAAGTACAAAGATGTTCACAACTGCAAAACTCTGATACACAAACTGCACTCATTTGGGACAGATACTAGAATCATTAGGAACTGTATGGCAGAGGCCTGTTAATACATGACTAGGATGGGGAAACTGTCTTCCACAGTAGTCTGATTATACAGGTTAGTAGGTCATAAGCATTTAAAATATCTTTCTCTTTTCAATGAATTACTTCATTACTCAATGTTTCATTCTGATTCAGTACTCTCCATATTTTTATTATTTGGGTATACTTGAGAAGATGTCTTTTGGGAATTCAAGGCTAATTAAATAATGTTTGAAAGGTAAGAAATGTAGACAAGGATATTAATTCATATTTAGAATAATGTCTCATTACACCTTTACACAGATAATATGTACAGAGATACTGTGATTCATGAATTGCTAATCCTCCTCAAAAGAAGATAATCTGAAGTTCCTTAAAATTCTTTAATAGTAAATTACATAAGCTTTAGCCTTATGTGTGACTAAAAACATTGACACCATATTATAAAATATTATCTACTGCAAAAAAATAATATATATCTTTGGACATATTTGAGATGATATTGTATATAAACATGTGTTTATATGCAGATAGTATTATTTATCTTCAAAGCTTTTTTTGAGACAGTGTGTCTCTGTAGCCCCAGCTGGCCTGGAACTAACTATGAAACCAGGTTGACCTCTCAATCTCACAGAGATTCACCTGCCTCTGCCCCCAGAGTGCTGAGTTTAAAGGCCTGTGCCACCACACCCAACTAGTTTCAAAACCTTTTAAACTTCCCCTGTTCTCTTTTTCATGGGACTAGGTTAATTCTGCACACAGGCCCCTCTTTCCCAGGACTTTTTTTTTTTTAAGATATGCCTTTCCAGTATTATTCTTTGCTCCCTCTGTCATAGAATGTCAGAACAAACTGATAATATATATAATAAATTTTATGTCTATATAAAATAAGACCAAACAATAACAAAATTGGAGGTAATTTTTTATTCTCTACAAACTTTATTAAAAATGAACTGAGTTTTGAATAATGACCTGTATATCATTTTATAAAGTCATATCTTCATTTCTCCTCTCTCTCTCTCTCTCTCTCTCTCTCTCTCAATTTTCATTCCCAAGGCTGGTCTATGTTGTATTTAAGATGCTTTTATAATTGCTCATTTTGATATGTAAAAGGAAAATAGTTAATTCTTTCTCAACTCATTATCAAATGGCATTCCTTATAGTATCTACTGGCTCAATAAATCCCCTATGTTTATCTGGTTTTTCATTCACTTAATCAAGTGTTGACTTTTTGTCTTGTTTTGTTTTTGTTGTTTGTTTTAAGACATGGTCTCCTGATGGCTTGGCACAGAGACCAAGCTGCTCTTGATCTCACAGGGATGCTCCTGCCTCTGCCTCACAAGTGCTAGGATAAAAGGCAAATTCCACCCTGCCAAGAAAATGTTGACTTTTTACAGATCAAGTGTTGACTTTTTTACATATCGTATGAAAGAGTTCAAATTTGAAAGAGCTATTAGATGATTCCTTCCTTCAAGTCCTTCTAGAAATTAAATGCTAATTTTTAAAACTCGGCAAGTGTTGGATAAATATAAAGAAATATGGAGCTCAATTTTATATGTTGTTGAAAGAACAGGTTTTGAAATTCTAAAACAAAACAAAACTATGTAGATTAGGGACCACCAGCATTAGGCCTTAAAGAGTAAAAAGTCATCTGTCATCCTTAATCCTCTTGTATTTGAAAGCTGTGTGTTAAGATCTCAGTAAGCAGATACTTTTCTACATTGAATGCATCTTCAGATGTACATAATACCCAGGAAATTCTAAATGAAAAGCTATTTCTATTTATTACTAAAACAATATCACTTTTTAAACTGCTTCTTATAAGTTTCTGTGTGTCCCAAAAGGCAAAGTCTTTTAAGGTATTTTCATAATTATTATAACAGCAAAGTAATTTTAACCCGAGTAATGGAACAACTTAATCCTAACACCAAGTTATCCATAGAGATAAGATAAAATGATTTATAGCCTGACCTTAAAATCAATGTGTCACCGTGTTTTGACACCCAACCTTTCTAATGGATATGTTTTTGTTTTTGTTTTTGTTTTCTCCACGTTAGATCCATAGAATCAATGTTTAGTTAAAAAAAAAAAAATCTTCTGGCTTAGGACACTGTTAAATTTGCTTTACTCTATTATCTAAACTAACGTTGATGAACTAATCACTGGTTGTTGGGTTTTTAATAATTTCCACTAAGTTGTAAAAATCTAATGCTGTCAGTTCTTAAAAAATAAAGACCTGTAGTAATTGATTTTTTTTAGATCTTAAGGTTATTTGTCATTTTGAGTCTAAATACCATTTTCTAAGTTGCTTGTAGGCAATTTGTTTGCATATTCTCTACTGACTGAAAACTGCCTTTTTGTCTCAAACCCAGTTCTCCATAACTGTCAGATTACTGTTAGTATTCAGATATGTAAACCATAAAAAGATCTAAATGAAGTCATATTTCAAAGACATAATTAAGCTTTCCAAGGAAAGTGAAAATAATCAGAAACCTTTCCATCAACACAGAAATATTTAAGCTGATCAGTTTTACTGTTAGTTGCCCAACTCAAAAGCAGATTCTGGCAAAATTAGTACTGAAAACCAAACCAAATAGCTACTATGTGTAATTCGTGCATGAACATTCTATTAAGACTCTTGCATTGGTGTCTGTTATCATATGTGTCAGCATTTTGTCTGTGAAAAATACTCTTTAGAATGTTCACAATGAGACTGCAAAAAACCTGAGATGACATTTAATGAGCAAAATTTCAGAATATCCTTTTTCTTCATAATAGATGTTCAAGACATACTTCAACGGCAATGAAGTCAAAAGTACACTTTATCTACGCAGTTCCAAAATGTACCTGTAACTCAAATTCACTTGATATAAAATGTAAATTATATCACTATCTTATTTTTACTAAACAGAACTAGCAGATTATTATTGAATATTTAAGGATGCAACTGCTATTTTTAAGTTGATATTATTTCACTAGATAATACTTAATCTGATTCTTTTAGAAAAGTGGTGAAGTTTTTCTAGACATCTAAAACTTGGCTCAAGATCACTCAAAGATTCTTGAATGTTGCCAACATTTTGGGGGAATTTAGACCCAAGCCTGGTCAGCACCATCTCCTCCTGTGAATACTGGATTTTTTAAAAATGGTTACAAAACAAGAGTCAG